GGTGTCTCCCCGATGCCTGGAGTTTTCCCCGGGGAGGGTCAGGGCCATCCTGCACCCTTGTCCAGGTTATGTCCCTAAGGTTCTGGCCAGACTGGCAGGGTCCAGGGTGCTGCAGGCGTTTCATCCCCCACCTCATGTGACGGCGTAGGACGGGAGACTTCATCTACTCTGCCCAGTCAGAGCACTGAGTATTTACACTCTGAGGTCTTCCCGGTGGAGGAAAGCAGACCAGTTGCTGGTGTGTTTCGGGTCCCCCAAGGCTGGGCTCCCTGCTTCTAAACACACCATCAGCAACTGGATCGTTCAGACTATTTCCCTGGCCTCAGGTGCGCAGTTTGCCTTCACCTATGGCCGTAAGGGCGCACTCTACTTGAGGCATGGCGGCTTCTAGGGCCCTCCTCGCAGGGGCGTCACTACAGGAGTTGTGTGAGGCAGCTGGCTGGGCCACTCCTCACACTTTTATCCGGTTTTACAGTCTGGACCTTCCTTCTTCACCCGGCACCCGTGCGCTCTCCTCCTAGTCGTGCCATCAGGTTCTGCATGCTGGGGGCAGGCGGGGTTTCGGTGCGGCCTAAGTGGGTATCTCGTTCCCATAGTGTCGTCACCGACACAGTTTGAGTTCCCTCGAAGGGGAACGTCTCGGGTTACGTATGTAACCCTTGTTCCCCTGCGTCGGTCCGCCACACCTCACCATGCCTGGAGTGCCTTGCTTCATAGAAAGAAGCTAATGTGTCCTATGTGCCGGCGTGCTTATATACCCCCTCTGGTTACGCCGTCACACACTACCGTTCTAGTAACACCACTAGGATTGGAGTAGTTTCATTCATAGTTCAGCCCCGTTCCCATAGTGTCGTCACCGACGCAGTGTCTCGTTCTCCTTCTCGGGGAACAAGGGTTACATACGTAACCTGAGACGTTTGCTGTGTCTGTCAGTGTAGTGTCCAGAGCATAGAGGCGCTACCAGGAGACAGGCCAGTACATCAGGAGACGTGAAGGAGGCCGTAGGAGGGCAACAACCCAGCAGCAGGACCACTACCTCCACCTTTGTGCAAGGAGGAGCAGCACTGCCAGAGCCCTGCAAAATGACCTCAAGAAGGCCACAAGTGTGCATGTGTCTGCTCAAACGGTCAGAAACAGACTCCATGAGGGTGGTATGAGGGCCCGACGTCCACAGGTGGGGGTTGTGCTTACAGCCCAACACCGTGAAGGACGTTTGGCATTTGCCAGAGAACAAGATTGGCAAATTCCCCACTAGCGCCCTGTGCTCTTCACAGATGAAAGCAGGTTCACACTGAGCATATGTGACAGACGTGACAGAGTCTGGAGATGCCGTGGAGAACGTTCTGCTGCCTGCAACATCCTCCAGCATGACCGGTTTGGCGGTGGGTCAGTAATGGTGTGGGGTGGCATTTCTTTGGGGGGCCGCACAGTCCTCCATGTGCTCGCCAGAGGTAGCCTGACTGCCATTAGGTACCGAGATGAGATCCTCAGACCCCTTGTGAGACCATATGCTGGTGCGGTTGGCCCTGGGTTCCTCCTAATGCAAGACAATGCTAGACCTCATGTGACTGGAATGTGTCAGCAGTTCCTGCAAGAGGAAGGCATTGATGCTATGGACCGGCCCGCCCGTTCCCCAGACCTGAATCCAATTGAGCACATCTGGGACATTATGTCTCGCTCCATCCACCAACGCCACGTTGCACTACAGACTGTCCAGGAGTTGGCGGATGCTTTAGTCCAGGTCTGGAAGGAGATCCCTCAGGAGACCATCCGCCACCTCATCAGGAGCATGCCCAGGCGTTGTAGGGAGGTCATACAGGCACGTGGAGGCCACACACACTACTGAGCCTCATTTTGACTTGTTTTAAGGACATTACATCAAAGTTGGATCGGCCTGTAGTGTGGTTTTCCACTTTGATTTTGAGTGTGACTCCATATCCAGACCTCCATGGGTTGATAGATTTTATTTCCATTGATAATTTCTGTGTGATTTTGTTGTCAGCACATTCAACTATGTAAAGAATGGAGTATTTAATGAGATTATTTCATTCATTCAGATCTAGGATGTGTTATTTTAGTGTTCCCTTTATTTTTTTGAGCAGTGTATGTTTTTAAAAGAGACCATGACCGAGGGAGGGCTTTGAGTCAAGATCAAGACCAGTTCCCCTCATTAAATGACACACATTAAAATGTGGAACGAGATCATAGGTACTTCTCAGATTGATCTGAAAGATCCACATACAAACACTAAGATTTGAAACAATATATTTTACATCCAATCAAAGTTAGGATGTTAACAAATAAATCAGACAATGCAATTTATTTACATTCCCAAAGTTATGGTCTTGACTGGTCTTGAAATAAAATCCCGAGTCCTCAATGTCCGAGACCGAGACAAGACTGAGTACAAATGCAGTGGAGTCCGAGACAAGACCAAGACCATCAAAAAGTGGTCTTAAGACCGGTCTCAAGACCGAGACCGGTCTCGAGTACTACAACACTACGCCATGCTATACTCCAGTGTAGCCGGTCAAGGCCAAATACTGTGATGGCTTGTTCATGATGTTCTACTTTGTTCAAAAAATCAATAACAACCTGAAAACCTGAACCTGAAAAAAAAATAATAATAATAATAAATAAATACTATAGATACTGGCATGTTTGATAGTCACACTCCTCCACTACAAAAAAACTGACCTAATTAAAGCCAAAAACAGTCTCATTGCAAATATATAAACTCTTATAGACACAATACACTGTCTCTTCCAACGGACAAATGGACAGCTGGCTGAAACAAAGTAGAATTTAACATTAATTGGCAAAGCCTATGCAACAACTCATGTTTCATACAAACAGCTCTAAAACTGTTATTAAATAGACCTTGCTAAGAGATTGTTTTGACAAATATTGTTTCCTAGACCAAGAATGATGTTGCTTATGTCATCATCATCACATAACATCAACTATTTTTCCAGCACCTGCAGAGTGCAGTTTAGGGACTTGTACAGCATTATAAGTTTATTTTTTGATTTTTGAATTTTTGATTGAGTTCTGATTGTAGCATGTGAGGACTCCTCAGTATTTGCATGGCTCATGCCTAATCAGTCTACTTATTTATTTGTTCATTTATTCGGATTCCCATTAGCTGCTACTAATGTGGCAGCTACTCTTCCTGGGGTTCACATACAACAAACATAAAAAAGACACAAAATACACCAAACATAACATACAAATATAAGTTCTACCTGAATCTAAAAACGATACCTACAATGCTTATACAAAAGTAAAGCTACTGACAAAGGAAAAAGCATCAGCACACATACACACTATTATACAACAAATCATTCACCTAAGCTCATCAATGTTGGATTTATTATTCAAATGGTTTTTTAATAGCCTTTTAAAACCAGCCTTACTGGGTGCTTCAGCAATGAAAATTGGTAAGTTATTCCATATTTTGATGGCTCTATACATACAGATCTGCATCAGTCCTGGGTTTTTTCAAAACTAGACAACCCTTTGTAGCCTGCTGAGTACTATAAGTATGTTGGTTTCTCAGAAATTCATAAGGTTGCATGCCAACCCCTCTTCCTCTCTAAAGCTGATGATACACGGGGCAACTTTTTGAGCAATGTTGCTGGACAATGTTGCTGGTGGGCTAGTGGTGGTGCGGGGAGGGTGGCGGAGTGATGGGGGAAGGGGATTATGGTAGTAATCTTTACTCATTACCATTGACGGCAACATTGCCCAGCACCATTGCTCTAAAAGTTGCTCCGTATATCATCAGCTTAAGCCACGAGAGACTGGCATGCACACTGTCCGTACTCAGCCTCACATCCGATGGACGGGCCAGTGTGGGTCTTGCAGTTTTATTTTGAGCTATTTGTAGCTTAACCTTTTTTGGATGCACCTGACCAGACTGGTGAATGTCGTGGAAATTATATTTCTGGTGAGGGGTTGAGCAGATAATTCAGTAACAACCAACCAACAAAAAGAGAATAAACAGTACAAAAAGTAAACATGTACTAAAACACATTGACAGCCGGTCCAGAGACCTGCCACCTAGGGTGGCTTCGGGCATCTGACCCCGAGCAAAGGGATGCATAATCATTTACACAGTCTAGGTTTCTATGTTTTGGGGATCAGAGATCCTCTCTCAACATTGAATGAACATTCCAGGAGAGGAGAAGAACAACAAGAGAGGAAAACACCAAAACAATCTCACAGCTCTGACCTAAACCCTATTAAATGTGGACAGACTAACAGAAGGAGTATAGGAGAGGAAATGTTAAGGATAAAAACACAATACCTATATATCTATAAGTCATAACAAAATTAGTAATAACACTAGTAGTAATAAAAGTAAAACTAATACTAATAGTAATAGAACATACATAAAAGATTAAATGTAAGAGGACAGTAATCAAGGTGGGATAAAACTAATGCTTGTGTCACCAGCACTATAGTGGCAGGGGTAAGAAAAGGGGAATATCTTCTAATACTTGATATTCCATTACCCATTTTCTTAGCAATGTTGTCAATATGTTTCTCCCTTCTTGTCAACTGTCCATCTAGTGTAACGCCAAGCAAATTTACCTCTCGAACCTGTTCAATGTTTGAGGCTTTAAGTGACAGGCAGAGCTGATTATTGCCATTAGTCGCATGTCTAGACCTGAACAAGATACTTTTTGCTACATTTAAGACAAGTCTATTTTCACAAATCCAGTTCACTACTAGTTGTGATTCCGATTGAAGGGTATTTCTTAATTTGTTTATACTGGTTGATGCAAAATGAATAGTTGGATCATCATTGAGTTTTGTAATATTTAGTCACATTCATTGTTTTTTTTGTCAAATGTGATACAATTGTAACGGATGCACTACACTGTGGTATGTGTGGGTGGTTTGCTTGTCTTTGTTTCTTTTTTTTAATCTTACACTGTATCAACACAGCAAGGTGTCACGGTCAACAGTTCGTTTAAATTCTCCATTCTACTTACTTTTGATGAGGACACTAACTGGTGCAGCCGTGGGAGAAGTGTATTTCCGTGTAGACCATGTGACTTCATACACACAGCTGTAGTTGCCCTGGTGTTCGTACTCAGCAGCAGGGAAGTTAAAGGAGGCTGAGTGGTTGACTGCTGGCTTGGGGTCAGTGATGTTGGAGCCAGAGAAGATGAGGAAGAAAACACCAGTGGGATAGTGGGAGGAACTGGAGCAGGTGAAGACAAAGCTGTCACCCCTGGTGACCTCTGAACCTCTGTTAGGAGACGTCAGGGAGATGCTGGGCGGCTGCAGTCTCACTGGGTAAAAAAAACACACCACAGAAATGTTTGACCACACAACAAAAATCTTTAAATATATTTATTGTTCAAATTTAAATGGATTTTTTATTTTATTTCCCACCATGATGGTGTAAATGCTCTTTTTAAAGAATCTACAGTACCAGAAATGTATTTGCTGTAGCATTTTAAATTTCTGAATTTGATTGATTGGTGTAACGTTCAAAACAAACTGTGCACAGAGTGTGTGGGCATCTCCATGTGTAACAGGGTTAAAAATGCACTTTAATAATAATAATAATTCTTATTAGGGGTCCAAGCCCGAGTGGGCAGGGAACCCGTGAATGCAAGGCATCGTGGTTCCCAGTACCAGTGGAGCTGGGAACCCTATTGGAATCGTTTTATTATAAGTTTGTAGAGGGGATTTTGATCCGCTAAAAAAACGTCCGAATTATAAGCTAACAAGTGTTTGCGCAAAAGGTAAATCAATGTCATGTCAGATCTTACGTTTTCAACGGCCAATCTACACCAAACTCCTTATCTTGCACGACCTCCCAAGGGGCTGTGTGAAATTTGGCGTCAATCAGCTTCTAGGTGGCTGTGAGGGACCATGCAGTTAGGCATGAGGAGTCAAGAGGGAAATTTAAAGCAAAAGGGTTTTATTTACCAAAAAAATCATTACAACAAAAGATAAAGTTTTGGGCCCATAAAAGAGGTCAAATAAACAAACAAACTAAAGCTCTGAACATAAGAGACTCAAAAATACAACTGACCTACTATACAACAAACAAAGGGGACTTATATATTGGCTGATCAGACCAGTTTTGACACACAGGGGAAGACTAACAACAACAACACTACATCATAACTGCAAACACAACAAAACTCATGTAAAAACTTATTCCAAAAGAAATGTACATTTACTTAACCTTAACTCAAAAATACTCAAATATAATATAAATCTAAACCCCAAAATATTTAAGGAGAGAATAAAGCCACCCCCCAGACATAGCAAGCAGTGGTAGTGTTCAATCAGGCCACCTCTCCTATAAAGCTGCTCCTGCTCCGAGCACCAACCCTTTAAGCCAGCAGACTTCCTGGATCTCTTCTGGGTGTGGCATCCAACACTGGTAAGCTCAGAAACAATTATAACAAAATGAAAATCCAAAAGTAACTAATGGTGTGTGTTCCAAAAGATGCTTCTGTATCGTCAACTAAAATAAAGTATGTGAAATAAACTAAGTGTCCTGTAAGCTTATTTGTAACCAAATAAATATTTAATGTGTATGAATGTATATAAACCAATCTTAAAGAACACAACAAACTCAGTGCATGAGGTTACCGCTCTTCATCTGGTTGTGAGGCCACGGCTGTGGCCATCACAGTGGCGCTATTCTTTGGAAATCAAATAACACTCCCATAGACATACATTAATTTTATATCTCCGTAACTCCCTTTAATTTATAACTCATCGTTTCTTCTCCGTGTGCCCCCCGAGCCGCGGCGGGGCGCCCAGGCCAACTCGTGCTTACAACTGCTTGCAGTTCTAGTTTCCAATTGGTATTTATTTTTCCCAGGGTTATTTTTATTTAATATTTCCTGTGGAAACTGTCCGAGATGCATCTCCGTCGTCCTCCGTCTGCCCCTCAAAGCGCAGTTTAGCATTGCTGAGGATAAATTGTGGAGAAACACTTCTGTGCTATTGTGTTTTTCTTTGAAAATTGAACCGTCTTTTTAAGCTTTTAATGCATATTGTTTACTTTTTCTACTATTAAGTCACCTGTTTTGACCGTTTTGAGGTTTTTTCCTAGATTACTGGGTGCCATTTGTATTACAGCAGGCGAGCTGTGCCATGTAGTCAACGTAGCGCCACACAGATCTTAGCATCCATTTCCTAGAGAAGTTCAGTTCGTTCCGGTTCACAATCACCAGGCGCTGCACCCCGCCATCATTCCATGCCAGGCCCCCTCGCCCCCTGGCCTGAAAACCTCCAGTGCTTGAGTAAAGGTGTAAACACCTTCATACAGTCTGTGGTAAACACAAACACTCCCCTGGTGCTCCGAGCTCCCAGTATGGGCAGAGCTAATCTGACCAGTGGCTGCACAGCTAACTGAGCTAAGCACACCCATTTCTCTAAACTCTACTCACAAATCCCTTCATTTCTCATTGCCTGCACCATGTGGTCATTGAGAAAACACTGACATTCAATATTGTTCACTCAATCAGCACAGGCTGAGCTCGATTAGCACACAGGTGAACCACAAACAGTCAAAATTGATAACACACCAATCAGAAGATTCAATAGAAAGATAAAAGGCCCACTGCCAGTTCATTTATTTTAGGAACAATGGATCCAGAGAAATCTGAAGGAAGACAGAGAGGACACCAGAGAGGAGGAGGAGACACAGTATGGAGAGGAGTAAAGCCTAGGTCACACTACACGATTTATAGCCCGATTTGTTACGTGTGAACTACTCAACGACGCATCAAAACGACTCCCCGACACATTTCTGACACATCGCCGACGTCTGCCAGAAATCCAGCATGCCAAATATCTGCCGGAGTCGGCCGACTCAACATCCATATCCAGCCAATGAGAGCAGGCAGCTAATTTTTCACTGCAAAACACTTTTTACTCCGGCAGGTGTAGGAGTAGGGAGGAGGAGTAGGTGGAGTCTCTGGCCTGTCATGGACCAAAGACAGGACGCTGGGGCTGAATAAGTAGTTAAGTGTGTTGAACTGTTCAGCACACTAAGGAATAAAACATGAGCAAATATTTACATTTGTTAATTCTATTGTGTTCATCATGTGAAAAGGTTTCTGAGGGGGAGAACCATTATTACTAATAACCAGTTTTTGTAGTATTGCTTTGAATCTCTCTCACCAGTGTGTCAGACTGTGTCGCAGTGTGTGTGTTTCTGAGGGCTTGTGTGTCAAGTCTGAGGGCAAAGTTTGGTTTTTCAGCAAGATTGAATAGTTTTGAGTGGACAGCTTCATTTTGACCTGAAAATAGGAAGTTTGGGGAATTGGGTGAGAAGTTGTGGATTAGAGTTTCTAGAAAAAGAAGCATAATTTCAAGAAATGTGTTTAAAAAAAGAAAATCGAGAAACTAACTTCAGTAACAAGTAAAGCTATCTGTCCATCAGGAAACTCTGAATCACAGAGTTGAGGCAGATATCCATCAAATATGATCGAGTTTCACCAAAATCAGTGAAAGTTATTTTTGTACAACATTCAATGGCGCCCGGTCCGTGAAACACGATGCTTCAGCAGCTTTATATTGAGAAATCTTTTCACTGGACGCTAAATTAATACAACAAGTGCAGAGTGAGTCATCAACATTTTAAAATGGTTGTCCAAATGACAAATTCTTAAATATCAAGAATACCTCTAAAACAACATTTTTGTCATTGATGGGCCAGACATAGTGCAAAGCATATCATAGAAAAACATTTAAACGTGGATTTTGGGAACGGAAGATTTTGTTATTCTATGTCACACTAAGCAGACAACGCATCTTCACTTGTCTTCATTTGCATATGAAGTAATCCAAAAGTAACTAAAAGTAATAAGATTACATTACTTTTATTTTGTGGTACTTGGATTATGTAAATAATAAGTAATTGTACCGGATTACATTTTTAAAGTAATCCTCCCAACCCTGTTACTGTACACTTTTCTGGGTTAATTGCTGTATTTAATTTATGTATTTATTTGTCTTACCAGTAACAGAGAGTCTGACAGAGTCACTTAAAGGGGAGCTGAAGTCTCGTCTTGAAACACTTGTCTGATACTGACACTGGTACGATCCTTCGTTATCAAAGTTCACTTTAGGTATAATGAAGGTAGCAGAGTTGGTCCTTGATGTTTGGGTCTTTCTGAATGAGCCTGAGGTCTGCTGCAGGAGGAATGTTCCACCTAAATGCTGAGTTGAGATCAAACAAGTGACACTGACGTCCTGACCCCAGGTAACCTCACCAGCAGGATTCATGGAGATGCTGGGCTTTGGAAGTCTCACTGAAAAACAAAACAATATTAGAGCAGTAAATGGACTGACTTTGAGTTACACGTTTTTCTGTTTTTTTAGTTTGCTAAATTTCCTTTATGCCAAAGGAATAGTTCACCATTAAGGGAAATAAGCCTTTTAAGTTTTTCGGTCCCCTCTGGTTGCCTTCAGTAAGTTACTGCTGTTTCCTTGTTTCCAGTCTTTATGCTAAGCTACACTGACTAGCTGCTGGCTGTGGCTTCATATTTAAAGGACAGCTATGACATGAGGATCAGGCTTATCTAACTCTCAATATAAAAACAAAATTGTTTATTTCCCAACATGTTAAACTATTTCTTTAAACAACAATGAAACATCAGATTCAGGGAATGGATTTATTTCCTTACCAGTAACAGAGAGTCTGACAGAGTCACTTAAAGGGGAGCTGACTTTTTCACTTGAAACACTTGTCTGATACTGACACTGGTACGATCCTTCGTTATCAAAGTTCACTTTAGGTATAATGAAGGTAGCAGAGTTGGTACTTGATGTTTGGGTCTTTCTGAATGAGCCTGAAGTCTGCTGCAGGAGGAATTTTCCACCTAAATGAACCTGTATTGAGATGGAACAAGTGATGCTGACGTCCTGACCCCAGGTAACCTCGCCAGCAGGATTCATGGAGATGCTGGGCTTTGAGAGGCTCTCTGAAAAAATAACACAACAATAAAAATATTAAATGTATTTGTTTAGATATTTGACCCTGCCTGTCTTTTTTCAATAAGCATGTAGTAGTAAGGCAGTATAATGGGCAACTTGAATGAATGATCCACATTAAAAATAGCCAACTCATAACGTCTTGGTTTATCTAATAGGTTTAAAGATTTGAGAATTTATAATATTATTCTGTTATTGTAATTATGATAAATATGTATATGATTCTGTGGCCCTGCGATGGACTGGCGACCTGTCCAGGGTGTACCCCGCCTTGCGACCGATGTCAGATGGGATTGGCTCCAGCCCCCCCGCCACCCTGTATGCAGGACAAGCGGTTGACGATGGATGGATGGATGGATGGATGGATGGATGTATATGATTCTCCTTTCCATTTTGGCTTTGTTCCCTTTTACAGATTCTGACTGAAGGAGTAGCACTTCAGAGGCTCTGGCTCTGACTCCCCGGGCCTCGTGCCCCTACTGTGCACAGCTGCCCGTGGAGGAGAAGCGACGGCGGGTCGACGCCTTCGCGGCCCTGCAGGAGGAGGAGGATGACAATGCTAGCTGGGCTAAGCCAGTTAGCTTCACGGCGGACCTCGCCGGCGGGACTGCTGGCGATGCAGGGCTCGAGTCCTCTGACTCTGCTCCCTCCATTGCTGGCTCCCCGCCAGGCTCTCCCCTCTTCCTGCCGCAGCCCTTTCAACTCAGCCCTCCCATGGGCCGTGTCGAGCAGCTCTGCAGCTCACACGGCGGCAAAGAGGGCTCTTCTCTGGCTGTCAGAAATGTCCACAGAGGCCCCTCAGATTTTTGCTCGCCCGCTTTCAGAGCGTTGCTGCGCGTGGCAAAATCTGCCCATGAACGAGTGGATGGCGAGACTAATAAAGAAAGGTTACACTCTCCAATTCGCCAGCCCCCCTCCTCCTTTCAGCGGGGTGCTGGAGACCGTCATGTCATCGCAGCCAGAGACAACTGCTCTGATGGCAGAAATAACAGAGCTCCTGAGCAAAGGAGCTATTTCAAAAGTTCCGCGAGGCGAGGAGAACGAGGGTTTTTACTCCCGTTACTTCCTGGTGCCCAAGAAAACGGGCAGAATGAGGCAGATCCTGGATCTCTCCTTCTTCAACAAATGCATAATGAGGAGGCCGTTCCACATGCTCTCAGTCAGGCACGTATTGGAATGTGTACGTTCCGGGGATTGGTTCGCGTCCATCGACCTAAAGGACGCCTATTTCCATGTCCCCATCATCCCCAGACACAGGAAATTCCTGCGTTTCTCTTTCAGAGGAGCTCAGTTTCAATACAACCGCCTGCCTTTCGGCTATTCTCTGGCCCCGCGCACGTTCTCCAAATGTGTGGAGACAGCGCTGGAGCCGCTGCGCAGTTCGGGCGTCAGAGTGTTGTTTTACCTGGACGACTTGATTGTCATGGCATCGTCCAGGGAGAGCTGTGCGTTACACACGATGAAGCTCGTGAAACATCTCACCTGCCTAGGTTTTGCCATAAAGAAAAGAAGAGCTCCACTCTTACTCAGGAACTGTGGGACAGATTCGGGGAGTCAGAGATAGATCTGTTCGCCTCACGAGAAAACGCACAGTGCGCACTGTGGTTCTCACTGAACGCACGGGACAAGCCGCCACTGGGCGTTGACGCCTTCTCACACAGCCCGTGGCCCAGAACGCTCCTTTATGCTTTCCCCCCGGTTCCTCTGATTCCTCGCCTCCTGGCGCGCATTCAGGAGGAGCTCCTAACAGTGATTCTGGTGGCACCAGAACGCACGAGTGCATCATGGTTTCCAGTGATGATTCAGCTGCTGTTGGGGAAACCGTGGCAGCTGCCGTGGCGCAGAGACGCGCTCTCACAGCTGGACGGCGCCATCCTACACTTCCCAGTGATAGGTCAGCGTTTGTGGGCTTGGCCCCTGAACGGGAGCGCCTTGAAAGATTAGGATTGTCCCCTAATGTGGTGCGCACCATCCAAGGCGCTAGGGCTCCCTCCACTACTGCTTCTTATAGAGCAAAGTGGTCCGCTTTTCAGCACTGGTGCGTGGAAAGAGACACGGACCCCGTCTCGTGTCCCTTACCTCATGTTCTGTCCTTCCTCCAGCTGCTGGTGGACAGAAATCTGGCTTTATCCACGGTAAAATCATAAGTGGCGGCCATCTCTTCCTGCCACGAGGGCTTTGGAGAGAGATCGGTTTTTGCGCATCCGCTGGTTAAGCATTTTTTAAGAGGAGTGAGAAGACAGCGGCCTGTCACGCGCCCCTTGGCGCCACAGTGGGATTTACCTCTTGTGCTGCGCGCTCTGAGCAATCCCCCCTTTGAGCCACTGCCGCAAACTTCTCTCAGACTGCTGTCTTTGAAGACAGCCCTCCTTTTGGCACTGACCTCTGCTAAGAGGGTGAGTGATCTGTGCGCTCTCTCAGTCGCTCCATCCTGCCTCGCTATCAGAGCTGACGGGAGCTCCGCCACCTTGAGGCCGAACCCAGCGTTCATTCCCAAGGTTATAACTAGCTCCTTCAGGTCACGGATTATTTCCCTAGAAGGTTTTTTCCCTCCTCCTCATCGAAACGAGGCGGAGGAAGCATCTCATCGTCTCTGCCCGGTGTGCGCGTTGTCTCATTATGTAGAGCGCACGGCTGCCCTCAGGAAAACTCAACAGCTGTTTGTTCACTACAGAGAGCATTCACGAGGCAAGTCTCTGTCAAAACAATGGTTGGCTCATTGGCTGTGTCAGCCGTGTCCTCCTCCACAGCGCTGTTCAGCAGGATGGCTGTGGAGGATATTTGCACAGCGGCATCATGGGCTTCACCCTGCCCCTTTATCCGCTTCTATTTACGTGATGCATCGGGGTTTTCCCTAACGCACTCGGTACTGAATGTTCTGGAGACCAGGCGCGACGCTGCTGGCTCTGGGCACATTACGCACACATAGGCTTCCCTGTAAAGGAGCCGGTAAGGCTCCTCTTGCCACAGGCTGTTGGGGCTCTTTTCTGTCTTAGTTGCGCTCCAGTTGGACTGCCACAAGGCGTAACAACCGTCCTTACTGTTCCCTCAACATAAGCCACAGTGTGCGTTTGTGTTACCTTGTACTCTGGGCGCTCTCGTGCGCCATGAGTTTTTCCACACACACCCCCCGTTGCCGGGATGCGTGTGTGTTGTTCCATCCTCACGCCTGCTCTGCTTGTTGTTGGGACTGGTTACAATGCATAACTCTCGTTCCAATTTCCTCACAGCAGCAGGTGGGAGGCAGGGAGTGATGTGTTCAGCCATCCTGTTATCTGGTCTAATGCGGATGGCTATGTATCTTAATTTCCGTAGTGTAATGGATCAGACGCTCGCCTTCCATACCTGGTTCGAGACCAGATGGAAACATTGACCTACATTTTGGTCTCTATTGTGCGATTAGGGTACTGTGAGCTGGTGTGTTAATGCTTATGACCGCTGGTGGTCCAGTGGGAATTGACTACATCTGGCTTCGCCCTTATCCCAATAGCGACAGCTCTTAGAGGGCGAAGCCTATATGAAATAGAACGTTGGTTACATATTGTAACCCCAGATTCTATGAGTATAGGCGTAGCCCTCTAAGCCGCGGGCCCGACTGGTCCCACCAGTGTAGGCTGAAGAAAAAAAGCTGACCTCTTGGGAGCAGATCTCTGGTCTCGCCGGTATTATATAGCTAATTTGCGGACCTGAGAGTGTTGAATAATTCCTAATTCCTAGATTGTTTGTTAGGTTCTACATTTATACACTTTGTTGGTTTACAATATGTTATAACTACTTAGAAGTGTTTGTAGTGTAGCCACTGGAAGAATGACTGTGGTCTCACAGGGTAAAGATGTTGACCGCTGCTGTTATTCTTTTAGTGTAAAGTTTAACTACTGAGTGTTTAATGAGTGTGTGCTCATATTTTATTCTTATACTCTGTGTGTTATCATATTTTATTCTTATTGTTGTAAATTCCCTATTATTACTGTTTGTGGTGCAGGATTTGTTCAGTGCTGAATTTAGTGTTTTGCATCAGGCACCTCGCTAGGCAGCTAAGGGGGTCCTTATAATATTCAGCCGTTCACGGCATTCTTGTTCATTTTACGTCGATACCTGTCTGCGTTTGTGATGAAGGTGGGTGGCAACGATCTGCTAATGATTGCTAATTAGTTCCGTTGATATGCAAATGAAACGGTGAATTTCGCCGCTAATGTAACATAACGTTACTAACGTAGCAGTGTTTATGTGATGTTTAACGTGCTGGCTGACTTGGTAATAAGCTAAAGCTAAGTTCGAGCTAACATGCTCTTTAAACTAGTATTCTCATGTATATTAT